AGAGAAAAATAAAAATTAAAACTTATCAACATTTAAAATATTAAAATTTTTAGTAAAATTATTTAAATATTTTAAAAAAATAATAATATAAAAAATTTTAATATTTTAATTATCAAGAGATATATCATTTTTTTGCAACCCTTAATTACCCGCTAATTTTTTGCTTTCCTGCATGAATATTGCCTTTTCTTTCCTGTCTGACAGGGAGCTACTTTTTGACATTTGTCTCTGTACTTTTCGGGATTTTCCTGTTGTGCTCTCCGGCCGTCCGGCGCAACTTCCCTCAACCGGCGCCGCTCCATCAAAATCAAATTTCCGTGTTCATTTGATCCCACTAAAAGTTGGACCATCACTGATCACACGGATAAGAAGGCGCTCGCAAATCTTGATGGGCGGGACCCAAGCAAGATTGACCGTGACTTGACTTAAAACGGTTTCCAAAAAGTGCGTTTTTGCCACGTTTAAGGCATAAAAAAGGGTAAGGGAGCCTAGAGAAGAATGCAACTTTTCATTTGCGCATCATAGAAAAGAAAAGTTTGTTTTACCTCTCATGGTTTCAACAATGGAATTTTTGCAGAACGCCGGGATCCGCGTTTCTCGATCACAGCGACTAATCTAGTTCGTCGCATCTCCTCGTTCTCTTCTCCCGTAATCCTCATCGCTGCGAATTCCGACTCTTTCCTTCCTCTGTTTTTTGCCTCGTTTGCGCCTGTAATTTTCTCTCCGTTTATCTGTTTGGATGATTTTCACTCCTCCTTTTCTATTCTCCGTCTTGACTTCGCGCTTGCGTTGTCAATATTCTTGTCTTTTTCATTATTAAGAGATGAATATCGATATTAGGAGTGTGATTTTACCTGCATTGATTTTGGATTGGATTCTTTGGCGTTCATATTCTCATTGGCGTTTGGTTGTTTTTCTGTTCTCAGTGTTTCTTAATTTGTGTAAATTCGACGCGGAATTTTTTTGCTAATTTCAATAAGCATTGGATTCATGATTTTATGTCGAAGATCTGGATTATTTTGTCGTAGTTATCGCCGTCCGAGTTATTGATTATTGTTGATCGATTCATTTTTTTTTTTTAAAATCTGATCGTTTTAGTTGAATTGATGATTATATGATGAGGTTTGATTCAGTGAAATCTGTTGCAATGGCTATTTCAGGATTGTTTTTGTTTAATA